CTAAAATATCCTTACTAGTCAAATTTGTTATCTATAACTACTATTATTAGAAGGATTATCATAGAAAAAAGTGGATAAATATGATAGACAAAATAGATTAGGGTCTTATATTTAGGACTAAAATAAAAGTCAAATAGCGTCTTATAATAAGGACCGGAGGTAGTATATATTATTATGACTTAGTGTCTTCTTCCATATTTTTCTCTTGTACTAATTTTGTTAATTCTCATATTTGACATGAAAATTATTCTGACCGTGGTAAAGCAACATTGACTTCATTTCTTGTCAAATTAGTCTTTTGTAAGGAAATGCATATTAAATATTTGTTCATAATAAGACGAATATTTAATATTCCTTGAATACTTGTTTGCTCAATACACTTGTTATCTATAACTAAATTAGTTATATTAATAACTATTGCTGACATGTGTTAACAATTAATGTCCAGCCGCACTACATACTTGTGATTGACAATTTAACTTTTTATATTAACTATTAGGATATGTATTAACAACTAATATCTACCTGCATGACACACTTGTCATTGACAGCTAAACCAGTTATATTAACAATTAACGCGCCACATATTAACAACTAACTAGCACTAGATATCCCGTGCGTTGCACGGGGAGCAGAAATTAGGAATATTAAAACAAAACATGGTACAAAACAATTAATTCAAAATCACAGCTTTGAAAACTTAAACTAATTTATTGAACATCCACCATAAAAAAAAACACTGCAAAAATTATACTCAGCTACTAAATAGCTCATGCTCATAACATCAGCTACAAAAATTCTTGACTTAATTGTAATATGCAATACTCCTCCGGTCCTTAATATAAAACTTATTTAACTAATCTGACTGGATTAAGAAAGTTAGGTAAGTTAGTTACTTATGAGAAATATGACATGTTTTTTTCTAAAATACCATAATTATCTTCTTAAATATCTTCTCTCCATCTTCTACTTGATTATAGTTGAGGGAATATCCATAAGGTTAATTTAGAAAAAATTGATAAATATAAGAAATAGGTCTTATATTTAAGACCAGAATCAATTCAACAATTAAGTGCTATATGAAGAACCGGAGGAGTATTATATATAATATTATAACAAAATTATAATTTATATTTACAATTATAAATATAAACAAATAAATATGAATACAAATAACATATAATTATATAATTATCAGTCCGACATTATTATCCAGCCAATTCTCATTACTTCATTTAACATTAATAATTAATAAGTTAACTGATTAAGTGATAAAGGAGAAATGATGTTAGTGTAATTCTCCTCATCAACCAAGACCATCGGCTACTTTGTGTTTTGATTTATTATCCTTTTTGTATTCTTCAAGAGAACCCAGTGACAGGACAAAAGCCACCATATCTGAAAGAACATGATACAAATTAGCGATTGCATAGATGGTGTAATTTAATCATTCAAACATGATTTAAAATCATCACACATGATGACAGAGCAAATTTACCCATCAGATACTGTATATGATTCCTTTCAGGACTCTTAATAACCCTCACAATGACCTCCACCTATCGGTCCCTTCATTGAGATCTTTCAGAAGAGAAACTCTTGACATGATGGGAGTTAGAACAGCAAGTGCAATTGCAATAGACTATAACAGTTTCTAATGGACAAACAATTAGACTATTTAATACAGCCGAGGTAAGTAAATCAGCAGCAGATGGTTATCTATAAATAAAGAAGGATCCTTGCTTGGTTGTCCACCTGCAAAGAAATTTTCAACCAAAACGCAATCGCAAAAATTCCCCACTAAAACTCAAAACAAATTCAAATTCACATTCAAATTTAAGTTCAATCTGACTTTCAATCTAAATTTGAGTTTAAATTTGAGTTTGAGTTTGAGCAAAAAAGGTCTTCATTTTCAAGGTTAGAAAATGACGACAGTGTGATTCTCGACAAAGAAATATCCGGTTAGATGAAGAAGGTATTAAAGGTACTGATGCAAACCACATCTACTCATTTTGATTGGCAAAAATGTGAAAAGAAATCAGAGATCGAATGCGTATAAACTATGCATTGGATGAAGGATACCAAGGCGTCAAAACCCTGCATGCATGCAAAAGGAATCAGAGATTATATGATGCTGGCAATAATGCTTAAACACCACGATATAACATTGACATCATAAAAAATAAACATATGGGACTCTAAATGATAAGTCATCTGGCAACATGAATCAACAATCAATCAGTTTATAACGAAAGCAAGAACAGACATGGTAGGTCTGGGTACGGCAGCAAAGCATTGGAATAAGTATATATGGTCCATTGATGATGATATCTTAATCCGTATAAAGATGGACAGAGAAAGTGTATATCATTTATACAAGGTGTTTTGTCCATGGGATATACAGCAGCATGGCATTGGAAGAAGAATATGTAGACAAAGTATCACCGAATGCATTATGTATCTGGATCATCACCTTCTTGTCTTCACTTGGAATATAATATAGAGAAAACGTCACTGATGCAAGAAACCATCAGACTAATCTCACACTACACATAATTGTCATCATATTATTGAATACTTTGTATCACTTTGCTTTACTGCTTCTAATTACTGCCATTTCGTTTGTCAGATAAACTGTCAGCAATATGTGATATTGCTGCTTTGAAGAAACGCTAAGAAAAATATGGGAAAGTAGTGACTGCTGTAAAGAAACTGTTAAAAGTTAATAATTTCCACAAGTACCTAACCTTCTAATGCATATACATTTGATGATCTTTCTTTACCGTCCTCTCTGATTTGTAACAACATTATAGGAATGCGTGAAGTTGCATCTTTGCAGGAAAGTAAATTTAACAAAAATTTGCAAAACTAAAGACAACTGAGAAGAATCTCTTAAAAAATCAGTAAGTGCACTTACGACTACACAGACCATGGATCCCTATGTATTCATAATATCGTTTCATTCTCGTTTTCCATCATGCTTATCCAGGTTTTCTATTATCGAGAAATGACAAAGAGGCCAAAGCATTAAGAAACTCGAGAATGTGACTGCATAACTGATAAGATCCAAATCAGATTACTCAGGGAAAAAAAAAGGTCCAAATCAGATAAACAAAAAGTTTGTTCAGTGACTAAGAAGAGTCCAAAATTGTGCTTTGCCTTCAACCAAGGCAAAGGAACCTTAGCAACTTCGTTCTGTAGCAGGAGTCTTAACGTTTCCTCTACTGAAAAAAAGAAAATAATGATCAGATTCCCTTTCCTTTGACTATGTGCATACAGATGAAACAACAGGATGCAAGCAGAGTTTCATAAACAAAATCAAATGCATGCAAATTTTCACCTACTTTATCAGCAGATCCGATCACTCAGCGAAATCCAGATTATATGACATGTGAAATAACGTTAGGCAGATATATTAACATTACAATCAACTATAAAGGATCAAAATTAAAACATGCACCTTTTCCATTTCATATGGTATAGAATAACAAATTATATTTATAATTTAAAATCAGAATTAAAAATATTAATCTAGAAATAAAGCATGCAATATATCCTGTTTGCATCACTGATAAGATTCCAATCGTTTAAAAATATTATAACTACTAAAAAAAAGAGTAACAATCTTCTCTTCCATGTAAATAGCATACAAATAATAAATAATAAGCAACTGCATTTAATTATAAGAACTCTCTTTGTGGATCGAGAATGTAGTACATGATATTGCTTTCATATATCAACGCAAATTGTTCCAATGGAGGCAGAAAAAGAAGACGACTCAATAAAAGTTTTCAAAGGTTGAAAAAACTTTAAATATAAGGCAGAAAATATAATCCATGTTATCTGAGATATTCTAGCCTTCATGCATATTTTGACCAACTTTTTTAACACAACACTCAATGTATGGCAGCTTATATAAGAATGGAAATAACAGCTTGCTCTGTTGTGATAGAACCTATACATAGCTTCATAAACAACTCATACATTACCTTGTACGGAGACTCAAACCCCCACCCCCATATGTCAGCTCTTAGGTTACCGATCAACTTGGATAATGGAAGAATCAAACAAAAACATTAAATAAATTACACTTTGCAGACTTATATCATGATACTACCCGACGTTGACAGAGCATAAATTGTGGGTGTGGGTTTAAATATAAATAACTGAATACTTAATTTAATTACTCCATCAACCCAATCCATAATCGGGCAAAAAAAAAAAAAAACCACAATGAATTGCTCATTGCAACGTAGATGAATTCTTCAACCTCTTAAGGCGTTGGAAAAGTTTCGAAGTCAATTTTCTTCGCATTTCAGTGGCCATCTAAATGTGTTTGTCTCGTTAGACACATGTTAGATTGTAATTAGAAGTTTACACTACGGAGTTAGACGTATACATGTTGGGTCACATTAGGCAGACCATTATCATTGAAACTAATTATATTGGTCGAATATACTAATATTGTTAGATATATCATGTTACTAATAGATATATCATGTAGGCAAAATTAATTACTCATTGGTTACCTTGATTTGATATTCATATTATTGTTTCCTTACTATCATGAATTCAATATCCAATTTATCAATATTACTACCTACTAATCAGCTAAATGATCGATTGTTAATTATTAACATCTATTTTTAATTTACATCGTAAAATTATCCCACATTCCAATACCATTAACAATTGATTATTAGAATTCAAATGTTCCTATATTCCAAAAATAAAAGGTCATTTCAAATTTAAGTTTATTAATTTTATTAACATATATCATAATTCTTTAAACACTAAATATTGAGTGTTAGTTAAAAAATTGTTATCAGGACACTTGATTATTATGATTCATATATTCCAAAAATAAAAAGTCATTTCAATTTTATGTTTATTAATCTTCTGAAAACATATATCGCAATTATTTAAACACTGAATATTGAATATTAGCTAACAAATAGTTGACTCAACTCTCATACTTATGTTTTTGGAGAAAAACACAGTGTGAGAAAGATCACAAAATTCATTCTAATTATAAATAAGCGCATCAAAACGAATTTCATTCAATTTGTATTTATAATCTACATGATAAGAGATTTACAAATTTTTTCATATAAAGATTACTCAGAACTAATAAAAAAACGTTATCATGCTAACTATTTGTAGTGAGCATGTCATCCACTTGTCCTAGCTGGAGCCGGAAAGAGATGCACCATTTTCCTAAAGCCATCAGATTAGCAACTTCCTTCATCCACGGATGGCCAACATTTCGAGGTGATCACCTCCAGGAAATTTAAGAAAATTTTAGTTAGCATCGATAAATATAAACAGCATAGCAACCATATGTAAGCGTCGTAGGAATCATTCTACCTTCTGGTTGTTCTTTTATGAACGAAAGTTCTGTCGTAGATTAAACTGCATAAAAGTGCAAAAATAAAGCAACAGTCACGTGAAATGGACGTTCATAATCTTTGTGGCTAATACAGATTCATTATACCTCTCAATGCTTCCATCGATGGCCGACTGAATGACTTAAGAACACTGCATACATCTGCAGGCAGCAACTGCTGGTTATAGCGTTAATAAACCACGACCAACTAAGACCAAAATCATACAACTTACCCACTAACTAAGCATCAGGGTCGCACAGACATGCAACGTCATCAGCAACTCTGGGAATGGCTCCCAAGACTTGCATATCACTGTCTCCTGTCCAAACAGAAAGCATTCATGCACTCCTTGACCATCACTTCGAACTGTGAAACCAGTCATCAAAAAATACCTCCGCATATCAAGACGCCGCAAAATCCTCTCTCGCACTTTGACATCCTTTAGCCTTGCCATAATCTTCACCCTCTATTCCTGAAGAACACGAAACAATGATATATGGCTGATCTTGAAGCAGCCACTATGAAAAAAACCCATCAATTGCATGAACCAAGGGGGAATACATGAACGATACATATTATACCTTAAATCTGGTGTTAGAGAAAGCACACTCAATACAAGGAGTTGACTATTCCTAAAGAATCCTTCGAGAAGACATTTGTCACCTGAACCAAAATAAAGAAATGAATGTCCCTTCATCCATGGAAACCATCTTCGGTATCTGAGGATGCTCATTAATGAGCATTACTCACTATGTGCCTCATACCAGGTTGGCAATGAAGGGAAGCAAGTGAGGTCACACAATGTCCAACCCAAACATATTTGGAGGTCAGGAGTTGGCGGGATAATTCAAATATTTCACACGAGGTAAATAAAAAACAACGGCTCAACACACTGACCACGAAGCCCAACATAAGCCAACGTATAATTACGGGTTGCACGAAGCCAAATGCAACTTCTAAATTGGTTACTAAAGCCATGAGTCCATTGTGAACAGTAAATTGAGTCAGGAGCCACCTACGAGCCGGCATGAGGGATCAGCTCAACCAGAAGAGATTGAATAGTTTTATTGATGTCCACCTACATCGCATACTTGTCATTCACAACTAAACTAATTATATTAATAACTATCGCACAACATGTATTAACAAATAATGTCCATCTGTACTGCACACTTGTCATGGACCACTAAATTAGTTATGCTAATAACTATTACTATATGTATTAACAACTAAATTAATCAGCAAAAGTAGCTAGGTAATTTCACAATTGGATTCTTTTACCCACGAGTCCCTTAGGACTTTAGATTTATTTGATGATTTCTTGAGACCTTGTAGTAATAATTTTTCTTATTTAGGCCTTGAATGTAACTTTCCCTTATAATATTCACCACAAACAATGACTTGAACTGCTCCCAAACGTGCATCTGAAATCTTATCCAATGTATCAAATTCGTCAAGAAGCTTTTCAAAAACCGCATAGAACCTACGCAAAGATTTCACACAGACAAAAGGATTAGGAAATTATTATACACTTCTTCAAATGCAATGTTTTGCACACTAGGCAATTTACGTTCACACCCTAGATGGTCAGAAAAAAAAAAAAGGAGCATAACATAGGTATAAGTAGGGCTACGTAACAGACAAACTAGACCAAACCAAAACCTAAACTGAAGTCCGGTCTAATTTTTGATCGGGCTGGGTTTGACATCTATAGTTTGGTCCAATCCAATAATAACCCAATGTTTGGTTGGACCCAATCTTGGTCTATTAGACTAGTAGACTGGTCCAGGCAGTCCTAAATCTCAATTTTTTTTAAAAAAATTTTCTTTATGTGAAGCAAGATTTTGACATGATAAATGCAATTAAGACAATTAAAAAATACCTATAATCATATAAAAATCATCCTAAAATATTTAAACTTAATCATAAATACATAATAATATCTAACAACATAAAAAGCAATTAAGCATAACATCTAAATTATACAGTATTAAGAAATAAAAACATCACCCGGACCAAACCAGACCAATCCAAGTGGTCTGATCACTTACTTTGGAACCCAATTTAGCACAACCAACCAATCTTGTCCGTTTTGGTCTGATTTGAACTGTACTAGACTAAACTAGACCACCTTAGGACGGACTAGACTGAATTGGAAAATCGGGTTCTGCACACTCTTAGTGTTAAGTATCTCTAAGAGTTAAATATATAAACAAACCTGTCAAGATTGTGATCAGGTTTCAACGTGATTATAAAATGAGAACCAATGCCATAGCGATCACAAATGTTATGAATAGAAGTCCTCATTCATTATGTTTAAGTTTAGGTTGCTCATCTGAAATAAATCATAAGAACAATGAAAATAACTTTTTTATCAAAATAGATAAAATATAGGGATAGATGTTTTGAGCTATGTCCATGAAACAACAAAAATATTTTAAATTGTTGCATTCTGCATGATAAGAACGTAAAAGGAATTCTCACCTGGAAAATTTTCACGATGAACACTTTCTCTGCAAACCCCTGCAAAAAGATAAAGCTGAAAAAAATTGAAATTTATAGGAACATTAGCTCTGAGAACTTATACTTGAAATTAACATACTCCAGAATTGATATTCAACTTCGAAACATAATCCACAGAAAGTTTGTCTAATGGATTAAACCTCAAACAGTGAGGGGGGGGGGGAATAAGGGAAAGACATATTGCTTACCAAAAAGACAAATTGTGTACCAAAAAGACCTATTATTAAAGGGCAGTCTGCGATGCATAAGGCTCTTACCAAGTGGAGTTTGGGAACAGACAGATTTACGTAGCATTATTCCCCACAAATAATGTTTTATATCAATCGAATATTTGCACAGACACGGACACACATAAATATCAATAGCGAAAACTGGTTAAGCTTAGGATTTTTAAATAGATACACTATTCAATCACTCATTTTGAAATATTACATATTAAGAGACAGCATTTTTAATTGGGGAAAAAATGATCCTCTTAAAAACCTCAATTGCTAGGCTTAATCCAATCCTACTATTTAGCGACCCAAATGATTGGAGGACTAGATGAGGACAAATATCGAAGATAAAATATAAAACAAGATGAATTATTTGCAATCAGTGAACATGACTCATTTCAATTTCCACTCAACGTATGAATTAAAAAAAAAAAAAAAGGAATCTGTTTTTATGTAATTAGCAGTAGCGATGATGATGATGATGTAATAATAACTGCTTCATGTAATGACCCTGGATGACATGACCATGAGGTGGACAATTTCAAAATGTGAAAGTGACTAAAGTAGTATATCAAATTTTACAAGCTTGAAAAGTTAGAGAAGGGTGTCATCCTATTTTCAACGCAGCAATACCAAACACACCTAAATTACAGAAAATATCGTGCCCCAGCAAAATGAAAACAAACTATGCCCCAATACTATTTTTGGTCTTTAATATAAGAACAAATTAACTAATTTGAGTAGATTAAGAAAGTTTGTTAAGTTAGTTATTTATAATAAATTAGTGTTATCTTTTTTAGAATATTCTTACTAATCATGTGTATTAACTAGAACTACCATTTGATAGAAATTTTAATACAAGTATACAACTACTATAAGGACTACTTTGAAAAAAATTTACAAATACAGGAGATAAACTGGATTGATATCTTTTGTATATTTAGGATCAAATTAAATATCAAATTATTTTTTATATTAAGGACTAGAGGTAGTATATAATGTAAGACTTACCTAACTAATTTGAGTAGATTAAGAATTTTAGTTAAATTAACTAATATAATATTCGCTATACCAATTAGTTGGATAGTAATTGTAACACAATAGGGTTTTACTAAACCATCAAATTATTACCAGTACATAAGGCACGAAAATTTTCTACTGTTGCAGGGGCAACATCTTTGAATAGCTGGAAGGAAGGACGCAAGAATTCATTAGATTGGATTTCCACTCTCCTCAAATTCAAAGTTGCAAAATCCACAAAAATATAAAACTTCATCATGTATCACAACATTCATTGTAACCCAAAAGTATTGAAAAAAAAGGTACCTCAAAAACCATCCTTCCAACATGCACCTTATCCACAGAGACATCCATAAAAACTAGGGGATTCTTCTCTCCCATTGTCTTTCTTTTATCAATCAGAACTCAAGCCAACAACAACTAAAGTCACAAAAGTCAGTAAAGAGACACCAATTAATTATTGATATGGCGCAATATTGCATCAGAAGCAGACGTTATATCAAAGCCACAAACTAAAACAGAAAAGATCGCATCTGGGATCTGAGAAGAGAGGGCATGCAGAGAGAATAAAAAAGTAGAGGAAGCAAAAGAATCCAAATAATCCAAACTTTAATACTGAACAATAAAAATGACTTTATATCATCATTAGTCATTGAGTCTACATGTCACAATTTGTCCCTAACCTGTAGCCGTTAAATGGCCCAAAGCATTTACAAAAATTTATATACAGCAATCACAATTAACTCAATAAGTCTTCCATGCTAAGTGACTACTAATTACCATCAGTGAGGTATATGGTAATCTCAAAGGGGGCGCCAGTACATGTATCATCCGAAGTAGCAACAGTCCTCACTAAATGTGAAGTTCCAGACTTAACTTTTATAATTGTCAATATCCTTTATTTAGTCGGTAGAAAGGCCAAGTTAAAAAGTTCATTAAGAAATAGAACCCTGTCAGTGATACGGCTGAGACTGAGGTAAATAAGACACATGGATGTCATTTATTGTGAAGCAAAAAGAAGATTGATGAATCCAGCAAACCAAGTCAAATTCAGATGTTAGAGTCCTTTGTTGAGTATTAAAAAAGAACTTAATATAACAATTGTCTAAGGTTAAATCTTAGAAGGTACAAGATGCAACCCAATCTTAGAACAAGAAATAGATGTATGTTCACAAGCTCTAAACAGGACGTTCATTCCGTTAATGAGTCGACTGACAAGTAGGGGAGTTCGTATTGATCACTGGAAACTTTACTTTTCGAGGGGAAAAAAAAATCCTTTTGCATTAAGTTAAATCAGCAGGAGAGAGCAAACCAGGAAAGCACCAAAGCAGAAAAGAAGAAACAATCCGGTAGCAATTAAGACAACTAATCTGACACATCCAAAATCCTGCCTTTGACTTACATTCTTCCCACAAAGCAAACAAAAAAGGACGTTCAAAAAAGGTCAAGGAAAATAAGCTACTGAAGCATACCTTCTGAGGAGAAGAAGCTAATCGAACGTTGATGGAGAGTGGCGACGAGCGGTGGCTAGTCGATCTGTCGATGGAAGAGGAAGCGAGAGAGGGACTCGTGTGATAGATTGTGGAACCACGGTTTGCGCATCGACCAGGGGGAATGCAGTTTTCAGCGCCCTCCATTCGTTTTTGTTTTATGTTTTTGGGCCAAAAGCGCCGTCCTTTCATGCTGCCTTCTTGGATTTATTTTCTTTTAAATAATTATTATAATTATTATAACATTAAATAACAAAATCATCTATAAAAAATCTAAATATTTAAAATTTAATATGAAACATTCATATTCATAAATAATAAAAATTTTAAAAATATAAATATTATCACAAAAATCTATATTTGTGAACTATTGAGATCAAATTTTAATATTTTAAATTCATTTATTTATTGCACTTCTAAACTATTCAAGTTAAATTTTTAAATATTTAAATTTATTTTTATATAATTTCTATTTAATATGATAATAATATTTGTATAGGATATTAAATTCAATTATTGATTGTTGATCAAATGAAGGAGATAATAAGTGAAAATGGAGGTTAGTGGACACTTTCTTCAGAGAGGTTTTAGTATTTTTTTTAATATGATTTTTATTCTTTTACTCCTTCCGTTCTAGATGTAAAAGCTTGTTAGAGAATTTGTTTTGGTTCTAAATATAAGATCTTAATCTATTTTATTTTTCATATTTATTATTTTTCTCAAACTAATTATCTAACTTATAAACCGATATATATATATATAAAATATCTAATATTAGGTATGAGTATTTTAAAGAGATCATATCATATTTGTTAAAATTAAATAATTTATTTAGCTTCCTAATTTATTCTAATTAATTAATTAATTATTGTAGTTTTTATATTAAGAATTGAAATTAGAAGAGTATTTTAAATATTAAACTTCGCCTCAACGCCAAATATTGTAAGGGTTTTTTGATCTGATGGTGGACTTTGCATAACATGTATATTTTTTCCCCCACCTTGAATAATATGCGTAGAGTATATATAATATTAGGGCTACACAACGGACGGACAGACCGAACCGGACCGGACCGGAGCCCAATCCAAAGTCTAGTCTGATTTTTTGGTCAAACTGTGTTTGATAGCCTATGGTCTGGTCTAGTCTAGTAACGACCCAAGGTTGGGTTGGACTGGACTTGGTCCACCAGACTGGTGGACTGATCTAGGCAGTCCAGTTGTCCAATTTTCTTTTTTTTTAAATTTTTTTCTTTATGAGAATAAGATTTCAACATGATAAATACAATTAAGACAATAAAAAATACTTATAATCATATGAAACTTGTCCTAAGATATTAAGACTTCATCATAAATACATAAAAATATCTAAAAAGATTAAAAACAATTAAAGGCACCATCTAAATTATAAATTATTGAAAAATAAAAAATTCACCTAGACTGGACTGGACTAGTTTAGGTGATATGATCACTTGGTCTGAAACCCAGTTCAGCCCGACCAACTAGTCTGGTCCAGTCTAGTCTAATTTTATTATATAGTTAATTTGAACTAGATTGAACCGGACAGGACCACTTCGGGTTGGATTAGACTAGACCGGACCATTGGGTTTTTACACACCCCTATATAATATGTCGTCTTATGTGTCGAGGATATTCCAACAGAGATTATGATGGAAGCATGTCTAGAAAAATATATTTTGGTAACAAAATGTCTAGAAAAATATAGATGAGATTATTGAAAGTATTTTAATTGTCACCCGAAATTATTTTGCTGATTGATTTGTTGTTTTCTTTTATTCAGATGAAGTAGCTATTCGGGTTATTTTAGGCTTTTCATCTTTTCTGTTGAATATTTTCTGAAAAACTGATAAAAATTTTCCCATGATTATGAATATTATTAAGAGTGGATGTTCATCTCCTCTTTTTCTTTAATTTCATCAGCTCCCACTATTTTCATTATGTATTACTCATCTACTACTCTATTACTCCTTCACTGTGCCTTTTTTTGACTGAAAAGGTATGTATATATTAATCAATCAAAGAAACTTTACAACAGCAACAGGTTACAACCAAAAAATGTCACCTGTTCTCTAGTAAATCCAAAATATTCCTCGCTCTAATAGCGTGTTCAGCAAGTATATTAACCTAAAGAGCTAAAGAGTCAGAGTGGATGTTTACCTATTAAACAAAAGGTCAAAACACATCCCAAATTAAAGACATCCATGAGTGGGTCTCGTCTGCCTCTGCAATCTATTTGTTCTGGGGATGGACAATAATAATCCCGTGTATCATCATCAAAACTTATTAATATTATTTATAAAAAATTCCTAATTACTAGGATAAATAAATGTTAAAAGAAAATAAAAATATTATTAAAATACTTACAGATGTGCTTATTAAAAAATTCTTACTGCTTATGCAATTCCATAGCATCTAATAATCTCTGGCAAATTTGACCATTTTCATATCTTCGGCAACTTAAAAAAGCTTTTAAATTTTTCAATATACTATACTTCCAACAACTTTGTCAAAGATATGACCTTTCAATATATTTTTCAAATTTGAACCGAATTCAATTTTGGTTTTTCGGTTCCGTTAGTTCAGTTTTTTTATAACTATTCAGTTTTTATTTTTTAAAATTTGGTTTTTGGTGTTGAATTCGGTTATTAGAAGAAAAAAATTGAGTTATAATAAAAAAAAACTGAAATACAAGTATAATACATTTATATTTAATAAATATTGTTATATATATATATATATATCTATCTGTGTGTGGGTGTACGTGAGCTTAAGGACTTGATACTCCCAACAACTTTGTCAAAGATAAGACCTTTTAATATATTTTTCAAATTTGAACTCAATTTAATTTCAATTTTTCGATTTGGTTATTTTCGTTTTCGAGTAACTATTCAGTTTTTATTTTTTAGAAATTTGGTTTTGGGGTTCAATTCAGTTATTACAGAAAAAAATTCAGTTATAACTAAAAAAACTAAATACATATATAATATGCCTACATTTAATAAGCATTTTTATAATAAATATATATATGTGTGTGTTTGTGCGCGCGTGTGGGTGTACGTGAGCTTAAGAACTTATTTGGCGTGGGGGAGAGAAAGGGAGGGGAAGGGGGGGGAGGGATTTTGCTACGCTCCTCTTATTTGGGTTGCTAAAAATTTTTAAGGAAGGGAATTTTTTTAAGATTTTTCCTCCTTTCTCCTCATAACCCTTCCCTCCCAAATTTGAGGGATTTGGAGGAAAAAAGTAATATTTTAACTTGCTCTTGATAATATGTCTATAATTAGTTTTAAATATTTTTATATTATCCTTATGATCTTACATCATGAAGAGATGATACTCTTATCTAATAATAAAAAAAATCTCTACCCTCCTCTATCTCCCCATCAATCCAAATAATATAATATTAAAATCCCTTTTTTACCCTCTTTTTCCTTTCCCTCCATTAAAATCCCCCTTCTTCCCTCCCCTCTTTTGAGCTAAACACAATGTGTTTAAATATATTTATATTTAATAAACATGGCTATAATAAATATTATTATAATAAAATAAAATATGATTAATTAATGATCGTAATTGTATTTTATCATGTTTTTTCAGCTTAATCGATTAGTCAAACCAAAATAATTTAGTTAATTCAGTTTCAGTTAATTTGGTTAATCGTTTTTGGTTTGGTGTTTAAAATTGACTATATTTGATTTTTCATTTAATTCATTGTTATCATTAAAAAACAAAACAAACTAAATGCTCTTCCCCATTAAAAAAAACAAAACTAAATGCTCAACCACAAGCAAGGTCATACATATTTAAGTAAAGTCTAGCTTAACCTAACCCATTGCCACCCCTAACTCTAGCTAGATAGAAACCCGTCCCCGCCCTCCCGCTAACCTTCTCGTGCTATGTTCCTCTGACCTCCTTTCTGTTTAACATTGACGAGGTTGTGCTCACACAGTCCTCTCCTCTAGTCTCTCGAATCTCATCCTTATTCGCATGGTCAGTCAATGCACATGAGGCTTGAGTTCAGGGCCCTCCTCTCTTTCACATCGACGCTGATGCAACACTTGACAGATGATGATGAAAACTAATGTTAATAATGTTTTGTGTAGAGTATTACCCTCTATTTCTGTTTATTAGCTCTCACTATAATTTTCATATTACGAGTCAGATTTTGTCACCCTTCTTTCTTCATTGATTTCATCTTAATTATTTTTTTTACCCTATCAATACATTCTTTGTGTCTTTGTAGTTTATGTTTATTGAATGTAATTGAGATTAAGTGGGAAAGAAAAGTGTTTTGGAATCATTATACCCAACTATGTCCAAGGACAATAACAATGCTGCATAGGATGTGTTTTTTTTAGTTAGAATTTTACAGAGAGTATTATGCTCCAATTGTTGAATGAAAATTTGCATAAAAAATCAGGTTATAATGTGTGCTAATACCAGCATCTTCTTATGCAATACTACTTAATATCAATAATATAATATTCCAAATTTTGAAGCCAGAATTATAAAACGCCTAAGAGGTTTAAATTAAGGCCTCGGGAAAATATTTATTTCATAAAAACCTGCTTCTGAGCAAGAAATTTACGAAAGTCATGGAAGCAATAATAATTATTAAAAATATGTATGGGCCAAAAATAATTAAGAAAAATTGTAGATGATTATTTTAGGAAATAAAGGAGTTTATTTCCTAAAAAGGGCAGATATAATTTAAAAACTAATTTCCAAAGTAAAGGCCTATTTTCTTGAGAAATTTAAGAAAAAGAGTTAAGACGTTAATTTTAATCCAAAATTTTAGAAAAACAATTTTATGAGCTAAGAAGGCTAAATAATGAAGAACTCTCTTATAAAGTGCTGGAGATTAAATTTTGGAAATTATCTAAAATTATGGTAAATTTATGAAAGGGTAAAGTTGATATTAGAGTTATAAAAGAAGGGCTTGCCGTTTTCCCCAAGTTAGACGGGTCCTCTCCTCGTTAGCGCCATCGGCCATCTCATTCCGAAATCCTTCCCTTCATAACACGTTCTCTGCCTCTCTTTCCTGCCTTCAGCCGCCACCTCTTCCACTTCTCCTTTTCTTCA